AAAATGTAAATGAAAAGTAAAGGAAACAAAGATTAACACTTGGTAAGAATTTCAGACAAATTTAAAATTTAATCGACCAACTTCACGTCTAGAAAACCCAAATCCAGAAGGAGTTCCGCGAAATCAGCCCTTGTTCAAAAATAACTTTTAAACAATGAATTTTAAATTTAAGAAATTTATTTCTTGCAATATTAATTTATCCAGGTGGCTATTATTTATCCAGGTGGAAATCCACATCACCACTTTTGCCAGCTGTCGCGTGCGTGTAGTCACAATAGGAGCAGGTGGACGAAAAAGGTGTACGCGACGGAGGAATAAACAAGTTCGGGGGTAATTAAAATGGAATTTAGTTTAGGTGTACACCGTATAAAAAGCTTCAAGTTCAGGGGGGTAATGAGTACTTTTGCCTACTATATATTGTAAAAATATTTTTGGAGAAAATAAATGAAACTAATTAATTATTTTTTAAAGAAAAAAAAACGTATGAAGTAAAAATTAAAATTTAAGTAGTGACTTATTGGATAATGTCAACAACCTGTCTATGGGAAGGTCCATGAAACTAGGGTGATCTGAGTCAGAGTCATGATTGAACATGACTCTTGTTTGATGGACTTAGTTAAGAAATAAAGTAACGCATTCATTATTAGTTATAACTTTTGGCATTATAATAAGCGGTTGATCCTAATACGACTCTATTTTCAAAATAAATAGACCAAGTTATGTAGTAATGTAAATCATAGAGTAGAAGAAAAGTAAATTTAAGCAAGGATACCTTTTTTATTTCTTTTTTTAACCTCAACTAGTATTACCTCGCGTTTAAGCCCCTAAAACAGGATCATTATTGGTATGATTGTTTTACCCCTTTTTGTTAGGCTCAAAATAGATATCAAACACCATGACGAAGCTACAGTATATCGAGTATAGTTAAGGAAATGTCTTTCACTGAAAAATTCTTCTGTATATCTTGATCAAATATTTTTTTTTAATATTATATATATATATATATATACACCAAATTTTAAACATCATCAACGTGATCTAGAAATATAGCCCAACTAAGGGTGTTCAATTACAAGGGAGTTTTAACTAATTGGGGTTGCACATGTAGAAACAGATACATGGGCCAGTTTCACCACCAATACAGAATCCATTTCCATTGTATCTTGAAAATTGTTAAGAAGATGATGTATAAGAGTATATATAGCTGGAAAAAAAACATGTTAATTATTTTTTTGAATTCTTAAGCTAACGTTTATTTTGAGATAATTTTTTTTATATATAAAAATAAGACTTATTTTGAGACGAAAAAAAGTATCTTCTTGTCATAATTTATGTGAAGGGATGTAACTCTTCTTGTTATCAACTCCTCAGGAACGAATGACGATAAATTATATTAGGATTTAGGCCGTAACGCATAATATCTATGTAGTCTAATAGTATGTGTTTAAGGAGAAAGAAGAATGGAGTTTTGCTTCTTTTTTTCCCCTTCTATAAGAAAAAAATACAAATTCATGATAGCATTTTGACTGTTAGTTGTATTAACTATTAATAATGGAAAAAGGTCTGATATACTCCTCAATTTTGTCATTTATAGTTGATATACACTTCATTATAAAAGTGGCTCATATATATTCCTACTGTTATATAAATGGCTCACATATACCCTTTTCTTTTAATGAAAGTGAAAAAATTAATTTTAATTTAATCTTTTAATTATTATTTTATTTTTTAAAATATAATCCATATGGGTATATTTGATCCTTCTCACACGTATTATTTTTTTTGACTTTTTTGTTTCAACGACTAATATAAATTTATTATTTTGATGGTCAAATTTATTTATATTTCGCAAATTTTCTTGTAAATTTATTATAGATGCCCTATTTTTAATTTATTTTTACAAATAAAAAAAAACTAAAATACAATATAGCCGCAAAAAAAATAGTTTAAATTTTTTTCTTTACACTAAAGAATGAAATAAAAAAAGAATAAGAAACTCGAATAATGATAATCAAATAAGTCAAAAAATAATTTTTGTATGAAAAAAATTAAAATATACCTCGAACTTTGTCAGAAGGGTCATATATATACCCCTACATGAATTTTTCTAAAATTTAAAGTAAAAAAAAAATAAACTTAAAACTAATCTTTTCACTTTCATTAGATGAAGGGTATATGTGAGCTCCTTTTGTAATGGTAAGGATATGTGTAAGTCATTTGTATAACGATAAGGGTATATATGAGTCACTTTCATAACGAGGGTTATCAACTCTAAATGACAATATTGAAGGGTATATCAAACCCTCTTCCTACTAATAATTGATGGAACCAATCATGGGCGGATCTATGTGGACGGGTGGGGGTGCCACGGCACCCAGTGATCTCGGAAAAAACTTTGTATATATATGTATATATGTAAAATAATTCTATATATATTAACATTGCTACCCACCATCTGAAAATCATGAACAGCTCAATTGGCAAAGGTGAAACTTGAAAGTCTACCACACGCCCAACGCAGGTTCGAACCTCGCTGGCGCTATTTATTTTTTGGCTTGCTGTTTCGTTTTTGTCTTTTTCATTATTGTGTGAAGGACTTTAATTTATTTTTTCTTCCATTTATGTTTATTTATTTACTATTCTTTATTAATTCAATTTGACTCCTTTTCACAATTAATTTTTAGTTTTTTTTTACTTTCTCTTTCACTAATTATTAATCTCTTAATATGAGTGTTACTTGTTTATTCTTTAACAATTAATGAGTACTGAATTATGAACGTCAAATAAATATTATTAAGAATATATTTAAATGGTAGTTTTTTAAAAATATAAGTTTTAAAAATGAGGAATATTATTACTAGATTTTTTTTTTAATTTAAAAGTTCTTTCTAAGTAAGATGACTAGGCTGAAACTATAATTTTTATTCTTTCCCTACTATGTATCTCCAAAAACACATAAATTCAATGGAGTATGAATATATTAAGTTAATACTATTAAATGGTTTATACAAACTCAAATTTTAATGTGAATTTTTTTTCCTCAAAGTTTCTGCGAATAAGCATCTAATTCCAAAAAGGAAATAAAATTAAATTGTTTAGTTATCTCTTATCTCATAATATCTAAAAGAAAATATTACTAACATGCATGTTTGATTGATTTGTTTATAAAAATCGAAAAAGATTAATAGCCGAATGGTAATCCAAAGATAAAGCAACCGATTCTTTTATCTTGAACAATGTGACACCCACGACCTCCAAATCCTAGATCCGCCTCTGGAACCAATGTTAGCGCACTTAAGTTAATACGACTGATGGAACCAATGTTTGTATCAACTTTTATTACTTTTTTGTATTAACTTAATACTTTTGAATGATTCACTCATCAAATTCAAATATACTTGTGTATACATATTTGGTATACAGTGTATATACAATATATATAGTGCTTAAGGTACTTGTTGATTGATTCATTGGTCCACATTTTTTTAATAATAAATTGGTTTATATTTATTTGCATTAGTATCTTTATATAGGACTTTTATGTATATATTGTATAACTTTGTCCAGATAGAAGTGTTTTAATATTTTATATCTCATTTTGTTAACAGAAAATCATCTAACACTACTAAATTTTGATTAAATATTATAGAATTACGTGGGTAAATATTCATCCTTGTTGTCAAGTTCCTATGTTAATATATGGTTCATATTCTATCCATGGTAAGTAGGCTCTGAGTCTTTGCGAAAATAAGTTTTTTAAAAATGAAAAAAAAAAATTAGTAAAAGAAAATTCACATGTAGTATTCTATATTGATTATATACTCTCCACCCTATAACACATATCATCTTCATCTCTAGCCCACACCCTTACCTCCATGGCCTCCACCTTTCATAGTACTTATCTAGATTATATATAAATGCTCCAATGATAGAAAATTTTTTGTTTCCATGTCAAATACTCTAACATGAGTAAAAAGCACACTTATTTTCCCCCTTTCTGAAATATACTGCCATTCGTACTGAAAACACCTAAGTGGATATCATTGAAAAACTTGAAAATTTTGACAAATCACCATTTCCTGCAAAAAAAAAAAAGTGTTTGTTAGCTTTGTTGTTCTTTTGATTATTAATGGTTGAGAATTTTTTTATTTTTTTTAATATTTAAAACTATTTAAAAGTAGATTTTGATGTTAAACAATTGTGTGTTGGATTGTTTAAAGTTCGAAACTATTTGTCTAAACTTCATGTAAAAATGTAGAAAGTTAACCTTGATAAATCAAACAAAATTTTAGAAAAAAATATTTGAAATTTGACCTTTCACAAGACCATATGTTAGGCAAAAAATATTCGAAATTTCCCAAACTTTACCGCTCCTATTTTATATTTTATATGAGAAAAGAAAAGTATCCCATATAGACTATAACCAAGATTTATTTTTATTTGTCAACCAATTACAAAAAAAAAAAAAGTTTGTTTTGTAAACATTTGGACTAGTAAAAAGGAAGGCAGTTGTGCCAAGTGTTGCGGTTTAATAATTTGTCAAACTTTTGATATCTTTTTAGTCCTTCTAGAACAATATAGAAATAAGATTTTTAGCTCTAACTTGCAAGTTTAACCAAAAGACCATTTCAAGTTAATTTTTATTTATACTCACTCAAAAAACATCGATATCTCAAAAATTTAATGCATAATAACAACAACAATAACAATAACAATAACAATAATAATAGTAATAATAGTAATAGTAATAGTAATAATATATTTAATATAATTCTATAAATAAGATCTGAAAAGAATGATAAATAAATAATCAGGTAGAGAGACTCTTTTACACTTTGTTTGGATCATTGTTAACATAGTGTTAATATTTCCGATAATCCTACATTAAAAGAGTTTATATATTATGATACTTCCTCTTATGTAAAAATCAATATATATACTAAGTGCCAAAAATATATATATAAATCTATAACAATTATTCACATCAAAATTAGGGTGGGTCCAAATTCACAAGCCTAATATCAAGACCCATAATACATGCTGGCTTTGCATGTGACCATCAATGGAACACTCTTCTATATTTGGTCTGTCCACATGAATCGATTATCCAAAGAACTATTATTTTTTCTTATAAAAAATGAATACATAATATTATAACAAAAAACATTCAAAAGTCAAGGGCATTAATTATCAAAACCAATTCAAAATTTAAATTTTATTATGTTTTTTTTAAAAAAATATACAAATAAATTGATAATTCATATTAAAAGTCCTAATTTCAAAAGAACTCTTATCGGTAACATTAGCCTCGTGGCCAGGGGTACATAACATTTATGGAAACGAGTACATATCAGAAGAGATCAAGATTCAAATTTAGTACACAAAATGCCAAGTTATTTCTTGTATTTAAAACCCAAATTTTGCGCTTTGTTTGGATGGTTGTTACTTTAACACTTTGTTTGGATTGTTACATATTGTTTCATAATGTATCGTATTGTATCATACTGTATTGTTTTAATGAATATAATGTTTGGATAGGTTGTCTCGTTCTCCGTCGTTACAGAATGTCACACATCCATGATTTGAATGATAAACTTACAAGAAAAGTAAGGAACGGGGTAGAGATCCTTTAAAAAAGGTAGAGTAAAAGATGAAATACAACTATTTAATAATAAATAAAGATAAAATGATAAGAAAATATTAAGGTAACAACGCGATCACACCAAATCGGTCCGTTACATAAAATGAATCTTTTCATCGTTACCTAACGATGGATTTAAATGATACGTTACAATAGAATTTAAGTAACAATCGATTGTATTTAAACTAACAATACAATGAGTAGCAACCATCCAAATAAGGTGTTATTATTTTATAATGTAACGTATTATATTGTGTTGTGTTTTATTGTATCGTACTGTATTCTTTTAATATATACAACATTTGGAATGATTGTATCGTTCTTTGTCGTTACATAATGTCACACATCGATAATTTGAATGATAAACTCAGAAGAACAGTAGGGTACAAGGTAGAATTACCATGGAAAAATAGTGTAAATGATAAAATTGAATTATTAAATAATAAATAGGAACAAAATGAGAAGAAAATATTATGATAATAATTCAATCACATCAAATCGATCGTTACATAAAATGAGACTTTTTATTGTTAACATTAAGTATCACTCAAAACAAACATTGAAGTTAAACTAATAATACTAAACTAATAATACAATAGTATAATGACAATCATCCAAATAAGATGTTGCGCGCAAACTGGACCAAACACGGAAAAATCATGTAGTATATGAGAAGAGAAGCAGGCATATGACCCGGTCCATTTATAGTAAAAGTATCCGAGCCCGTCCAAATACAGAGCAGAGAGCAGAGAGTAGAGAGTAGAGAGTAGAGAGAGTGTAGATGCTTTGTTTGTAGATCCGAATAAGAAAGAGAAGTAGAAGAAGAATTATAGGTGGGAAGGACTCCTTCAATTCAATTTCATCATTCAATATATCTAAGAAAACTCTTTGACTAAGCTATTACTTTCCCTTTTTTCCATTTCTTGGAACTATAAGCTTCTCTACTTTCAGGTATTCTTTTCTTCCCCTTCAAAATGAAGTTTATTTCTTCCTTACTGTGTGTTTTTTTGTTGAAGTGTTTGAGTTTGTACAATTAATGTTAGCTCACTCCTGTTTTTTTTTTTTTTGTATGAATAATAGTCGATTGATCTTTTTTCTGGTACATTGACTGTTTCTGTGAATGGGTTTGTGTAATTTAATGAATAAGTTAATTTGGGTGTGAGTTTTCTTGGGTTGAATTTGTCTTGGTGTAAAATTAATTGGGGATTTGGTAAGTCTTAAGTAAGTTAGAATTAGTTGTCTTACTCTTGTCATTGCATTTATGGAGTTTGGTGTTTTGTTGTTAGGGTTCCCTTATATTAATCAACATTCCATATTCTTTGTTGATTCATCAGTTTCCATAAGTTGGAATATTTATTTTAGGGTTTAGAAGAAATGCGCTTCTATAATCTGTGACTATGGAGTAGTTTGTACCATATTTGCATTGGGTCGAGCTGGTTGTGCAAGGATTAGCGAAGAATTTAAGTTATCTGCACGGATAGTGTAAATTTTTATTTTTTTTACAGTATTAGGGAATTCTAATTTGCGATTACAGGTTAGTTACTAATTTATGCTTATGAAGGATTTAACTGTGATTACCTAATAAGTGACCTGATTGTGTAAATAGGACTTACACAGTGAAAGTAATCTCTCAGCACTTTGTGTCTCTTATGAACTCTTTGTGCTAATTACATTTAGATAGAAGCAATTGGGAAAAAAAGATTGCGCCCTTTTTCCATGAAATTGAAGCACTTCTCGTTTATGAACAGAATTCGATCAAGGGGTTCAGTGTTTGCTCTCAGTTTTTCTTTTCCTTCTTTATTTTTATTTAGGAGAACTTCACAATTCTGTTACTGGCATTGTTAAAACTATGAGTAACTACATCATTTACTATTTATCTGATTTAACTGTCTTTTCTTATTAAACCGGGACTAGTGGCTCAGTTGGATTTTGAGATTAGTACTGGTGGATTTCACAATGCAGATGATGCACAAAAAAAATAAAAATAAAAATATATATATATACAGTGGTTACTGAGTCAGTTTGTGTGCAAGTTGACGTGCACTGAGTAATATGTCCTTCCAAATTGATTGACTGAACTATTAGTACTGCCAAGACAAACCATCTCAGTAATAATAATAAGGCCTCACGTGGAGAAATTTCTAACTCAAAATTGCAACCCCACCCTTCTCTCTTCCGCTGATATGTTTCACTTCCCTGCTTGTTAAAGAGGGTGAGGTAGGATATTGAGATTACATCCCTAAGTACTGCTAGTCTTCTTGCTTAGAAAATTTTAGCTTGCTTATAACTCACCATGTATTATAATACCTAGCTGACAGTTGACTTCAGAAAAATTTAGATCAATGGCTGTCAGCCTATAGTGCCATATGTGAGGCACATGGCAATGGTAATGCGAAGGTATTTTGACTTCTTAAAAATTGCAATCTGGTGCCTATTTTCTATATACTACTTGTAAACTAAATGATATTTAATTCCTTAACAAGGCTATGGCTTGGTTGTTGTGGGGAAGATTATAATGGTAATCGTGTTATGATGTTGTGAGGAGTCCTATTCTTCTCCTTGGGTTATTAAACATCTCAATAGCTCTCTAGGCTCCTTATAATTTTCCAAGCAAGCCCTATTAGATCATGATATTCCTGATATTTCTACTTTGAACAACTGGGGTATGAACATTGTATCTTGCTAAACCGAATGGGCTCTTTGCACATATGATAAGGAGGTCTAGTAGAATGAACAAGTAAGGTAAGGACTCTTTTGATATGGGGGTAGGGGCTTTTCAGTTAGGCGACCTGTCCAACTATGGGAACTTTATGGCCTCAAACTTTGACCATAACATGTCCAAAATATAGAGAGATTCATATTGTTGCCATTTTTGTAAACTTTTGCCAAAGTCAAGTTCGTGAGGAATCGGGGTCAACTGATTAGTTGTCAGCTACAAATAGGTCTTGCTAGGGCCTGTAGTTTTTCCTTTTATCGAATTTAAACAATTGACCCATCCTAAGGAAAAACTCTATTCATTACGTCCAAATAACTCCTCTCCTGTCAGATATTCTCCTAATTGTTTGAGATACCTCTTAAGTCAAGAGATATATGCAATTATGCAGTATCATATATTCCAGATGATGCTTTTCAGAGTCTCAAATGTGAAAATCGTCCGGTGCTTATGACAGCAACAGTTTAATTTCTAAGCAAATCTAAAACATTTATTTTATTAATAATGGTGTTCAAATTAGCTTTCGTGCACCTCAATTATTTCACGGGCTATATGATAGCAAGCTGGCTCCTCAACTATTTCATGGGATATATGCTATCTCTCACTAGCACAGGTTCGGGGTAACATGAAGTCACCAAGGCTTTGGTATATGAGAAGAAATAATTTGTTTTTTTGTCTTTATTGGGATTTGAACCCTAGTTCCAAGGTTTGCAGCCACGTTATTGATCACTAGGCCACACCCTTGGCTGCTCAATTAGCAAATCTAGAACTTAATTCACTGGTAGATTCCAACAGTACTAGTTTCTCCAACTCATGCACTAGTTTAAACTTGCCAAACACATTTTATAAGATTGATGTGCCATATTATGCTCTGAATATATTTGACAGGTAAGACTATTAGACTAGATATTTATTGAATTTGATTGATGATTAAATTGCTTCGAAGTTGTTGAGTAGTGCTTGGACTGATATGAGTCTGGTTGTTGACAGATTCAATAAATCTTTGCAGAACAGGTAGTAAAACTCACCATGTACAAGCAGTCACCTAGTAGGAACCATAGATCCAAAGGTGTCAAGGTTAAGAATGTTTTACAAATCTGTCTGTTGGTTGCTGTTTGCTTTTGGCTGATTTACCAGGTCAAGCACTCACATGATAAAAAGAAAGAATTTGATGAAGATGATGCCAAGTCTTCAATTAAGAGTGGAAGTAGCAATGAACTTATGAAACTTGGAAGGAAAGATCTACCACGGATTGAGGGATTAGATACAGTTGATGAGAAGCATAGGGAGGAACCAGAAGATGAAACAGTGGAAGAAGAAGAAGAAGGGAATAAGCCTGAGGAAGAAGATCTAGAAGAGAACAATACTAAAGAGAAGAATGGAGAAGATGAGGTTGATGATCATGATCAAGAGAAGAATGATGAACGCAGAGAAGATGGAGAAGATGATCATGATCAAGAGAAGAATGATGAACACAGAGAAGATGGAGAAGATGAGGTCGATGATCATGATCAAGAGAAGAATGATGAACGCAGAGAAGATGGAGAAGATGATCATGATCAAGAGAAGAATGATGAACACAGAGAAGATGGAGAAGATGAGGTCGATGATCATGATCAAGAGAAGAATGATGAACGCAGAGAAGATGGAGAAGATGATCATGATCAAGAGAAGAATGATGAACACAGAGAAGATGGAGAAGATGAGGTCGATGATCATGATCAAGAGAAGAATGATGAACGCAGAGAAGATGGAGAAGATGATCATGATCAAGAGAAGAATGATGAACACAGAGAAGATGGAGAAGATGAGGTCGATGATCATGATCAAGAGAAGAATGATGAACGCAGAGAAGATGGAGAAGATGATCATGATCAAGAGAAGAATGATGAACACAGAGAAGATGGAGAAGATGAGGTCGATGATCATGATCAAGAGAAGAATGATGAACGCAGAGAAGATGGAGAAGATGATCATGATCAAGAGAAGAATGATGAACACAGAGAAGATGGAGAAGATGAGGTCGATGATCATGATCAAGAGAAGAATGATGAACGCAGAGAAGATGGAGAAGATGATCATGATCAAGAGAAGAATGATGAACACAGAGAAGATGGAGAAGATGAGGTCGATGATCATGATCAAGAGAAGAATGATGAACGCAGAGAAGATGAGATCGATGATCATGATCATGAGAAGTCTGATGTAGAGCGTGATCAAGAAGTGGATGCTGTTGATGAAGACAAGGAACGAGGAGAAGATAACGAGAAGGAAACTGAAGTGAATGATAGTCAGGTGGAGGAAGAAAATTCATTGGAGGACCATGATCACGACGAGGACTCAAGCAGTTCACATGAGGCACGTGAAGAACATTATAAAGCAGATGATGCTTCAAGTGCAGTGACTCATGATACAGTTGTAACTACAACTGAAAATGAGAGTGGTAAGGTAGAGCAAGAAGTAGAACATGCTGCTGAAGCCAAGAGTGAAGATGGTGTTAATAACATTATGCAGATCAATGCCAGCAAAAATACAACAGCGGCTTTGAAGGAGGAAAATGGTAAAGCAGATGAGGAAGACAGTCCTCCAAACACAACAAACAGTGAAGAGAAGCATGATGACCCAATCTTATCCACTGCTGCAGACAATTCAGTTTCAAATTCCACAAGAACAGAAGGATTGACTGATAATTCTGAATCGAGAACCTACTCGACAGAACTGAGCACACAGACTCATGACCTTCTACAGAATGGCACCCAGGCCACAGTAGGGGATACAACGTCTTCCAACATGTCAACTAGTACTTCACAGCAAAGCAGCAACTCTGCAGATACGGTGGATGACAATCAAATTGATTCTAATTTAACATTTTCCTCTAAAAACGACGAGTTAGACTCAATACCGGTCGATTCCTCGAATGTGTCTGGTGATACAGAACCTTCCCTGGCAGAAAAAGTCGTCCAAGGGAATGCAACTGCTGAAGCAGTAGATAATGAGGGGTTGCCTTTGAATGATAACAATGGAACTGAGGTTGAGAAGGCAGATACTAGCAGTGAAGAAACCGGAACTACTGATGAAGACGTGGATGCATCAATTGTTGAGAATTTGGGAGAAGTTCAAGATGATCTGATTGATACTTCTGATTCGTCCACCCACTTGGAAGAGAAACATGTTCGCACAGATGTGGAAACTCTTCCTGAAATACAAACTGAAGGAAGCATGGAAGATGCTGCAGCAGAATGATAACTGTACAATTAAACAAGTAGTGTGTTTAGTTTTCGTGATGAGTTTTCACACTTCCGTTTACTATTATTCAGTTTCACAAATGTGCAAAATTCATAAGCTGTAGACCATATTAATGTTGCAGGCATAATATAGGCAAGAGTGAAGGGCTCCAACTTGTATAATCGTTTCTACTTTCTAGCCTCTTTAGAACAAAGAGTGTCTTCCATTTTTCTGTTTAATCTATTTTCTATATAGATTGTGCTTCTGTTACAAAACTTGTGTAGTGTATTGGAACAGATATGCTATGTTTTGACTTAGTGGCTTGAATATTGTGAGATGTTTTGATTAATAAGGTATAAATTAATGTAGAGTTCAAGTAAATCATGGTTCCCACAGAAGATGAAAGTATTAGCATTCAACATCAACATGATCTCAAGTAATATCAATAGCTTCATGGCTTAGTTCAAGCGTCCAGATGAAAAATCGAGCAAACTTTAGGTGTCTCTACGACTTTGTGCATAAAACCTGGTTGAACGATGTTGTTTATTTGGATAACTTTACTTGCTATAGCAAATAAAGATTGTATAATATAACATAATATGGAACATCGATTCCATATAAAACATAGTTATTGCATTGAAATATCATTATGCATGATAGTTATTATAGAGAGGTCTTTGATGGTATTTCTTTACCCCATCGCAACTCACAATATTGAATATTGGTGTTGGAGATAAGTGTCAAATTTAATAATTTAATATATGATCCTTTTGCCACGCTGTAAAGAGGTCTAACCAAAAATAAAAAATAAAAATGGACCCACTGTTTACATGTGAAGCAAAATCATATAGTGTAGATGAATTATATGTGAAGTCAACATTAAAGGTGAGATCTTATCTCACTGTTTATGATTAATGGGTTAACTATCCATTTAGGGCTTTCTAAATAAGTCAAGGGTGTCAAATGAGCGGACTTGATTGAAATTAAAGATATTAAAATAAATTGAAATAGAAATCGAGGAAGTTGATATTGTGTTGGATCATGTTACGTTGCATCATAAGCCTCGTCTTTTTCTCAGTTCTTTGTGATGGACCTTGTGGCTCTCTAACTTTGGGCCCTAACCCAGTCTGCCCATAGTTACATGCACCTGCTTTCTAATAGTAATTTCAGCTGTTTTAGTCATGTTGGTTTAAATATAATACATTAATCGAGAAAAGACATAAAGACCCCATTAAAGTTGTCTCGTATTGCATAAAGACACCTTAACTTTCAAAGTGTCCTATCACCTCACAAAACTATTTAATATCTTGTAAATGGGTCCTATTTTGACCCATTTCCTCGTCTGGGTTGTTACCACACACATGAGGCGCGTCATGCAGCGTTTTCACTGTCATGGACCAGTTTAAAAGTGCCACGTGTCATTTTCTTTCTTTATTATTAATTATTTAATCACTTTATATCATCTTCCCCAAATTTTAAACCCAAAATAGCCATTGATAGCCTAATTTTTCGATTTCATGGTTTTTTCCATAGCCCTACAGTAGCAATTACTCAAAAACATAACGAAAAACTATAAAATCCTAACAATGGCAACTATAGTAGGTCGATTTCAACACTTTTACACTATAATAATCCCTAAAATCATAATAATCGGAAAAAAAAAAGATATTTATCATATGATCTACCCTAACCTGTTAAACCTTTCAATTCTTTGTCACTCCAAGAATCTTCACTAAGACACATCAACAACGAGATTATCAACACCAACACGACGAGAAAACTTTTCTATTTCTTCGGATTTTATGGAAAGTTGAGAAATAAGAAAAGAAAAGGAGAAGACGACTTTTCTTCAAAGAATAGGGTCGGGTCGGGTCGGATTGAATTCTATCACAGGGAGTGAGCAACACGCGCCACTACATAGACGAGGGAATGGGTCAAAATGGCCCATTTACAATTATATTAAATAGTTTTGTGGGATGATAAGACACTTGGAAAGTTAAGGTGTCTTTATGCAAATACGGGATAACTTTGATTGTGTCTTTATGTCTTTACTCTACATTAATCACATAAATTGACAAAAAACCACATATTCTAAATAACTAAAAAGTTATTAACATTGAGTTATATATCATAAGGATCTAAAGCAATTTTTCCGGATAAATGAATAACCAGAAGTTCTATTATCGAAAAAATAAAATAAAGGATGAACGGCTAGTTGTCCTTTTTTTTCCTATCTCTTTTTATTTGAA